GGCCGACGGACAGAGCACCATGACGGCGAACAGGTAGCTGGACCGGAGGCCGGCCACGGTGGCGACGAACAGCAGCGCGGTCCAGAACAGCTGCACGCCGTTGAGCATCGTCACGGCCCATTCCGCATCGGTCCTGGACCGGGTTTTCGGGTAGTAGGCGGCCACGGTCAACACCGACCACGACGCCGTGCCGAAGTACACCAGCAGGTTTGCCGGGTTGCTGTACCAGCTCATCGAACATCCGAGCCGGTCCAGCGCGAACGCCACCAGCATACACGACAGCACGGCCGCCGCGAACGCGCAACCGGGACTGACGATGGCCGTCAACAGGTGCGTGCTGTACTCTCGGCGGTTCATGCCGGCCGTCGTGAATCTGAGCGACAGGAAAATCGAGAACAACGACGACAACACGACCAGGAAGTTGCCGAACGCCCCGGACAGTTCCGTAAAGGAAACCATGTACACGCCGAACACGTCGAAGAACACGTACTTGGACTTGGTACCGTTCGCGGTGATCGTCGCGTTGTGCGTCGACATCGCTTTGGCGAGCGCGAGCAAGTTCTCGCCCGTGTTCTGCAGCACGGACGGTCCGATCCGGTCTAAATCGTCGTGTTTCGTGTGATAGACGTACCCGTTTTTGTAATGCGCCAGATCGAGACCGGACATGTTTCCGAAGTCTCTGAATATTCTAAAATCCGTGTCCGACGGTATCACGCCCGATTGGAATAGTTCCTCGCCGATCACTTGCCCGTACGGATGGGGAACAGTGCGAGCGTACAGATCTACTAGATACGAATCCGACTTTGTGGTCTGGAACAATATTTCTCGGCCGCCCGATCCACAGCTGTCCAGATTGATTATGTACTTTGCGCTTTTTGACCAAGGGTGTTGAGTGACGAAACCGTGAGAAGCTTGAAGCATTATTTCCTCGCCACCGTTGAATAAAAAAATTACCGGTCTCTCCAGATGTGGGGTTTTTGCTAAAATTCGTACGAGTTCTACCATTACGGCACAGTTCACACCATTGTCACTTACACCGGGCCCTGCTGGAACTGTATCATAATGGCAATTTAACAAAATGGCGTCATTTATACCTTGTTTAGGATCTATTTTAACAACGATATTTTGTAAGTCTTCATAACTCAATAAATATTTCCAATTTTTCATATTTAAGATAAATGAACCACTTACTTTTTGGTTGTATATTTCAATATCGTTAACTCTGTCTGTAGCGTTTATAATATCATTAATTTCAGTATTTAAGAGATTAAAAGCTAATTTTTCATTTTCATAACTACCGACTGGTCTTGGACCTAAATTTGCTAGTTTGATTAATGTAGACATTGCACGTTTAGCAACGAAATCATTACTGGTTGAATTTATCTCGATAGGAGGTGGCAATTTGTTATCCATATAATACACAAACACGTTTAAAATTACTAATACGGTAACTGAAACAAAGAGAGTCGGTAAAGCTGAGAGATATTTTTGATTTCTGATAGCTTCATCTTTAGTATCACTGGACTTTTGATCGATTTGAAATGTTTCCATTTGTTGATTGTTGTCGGACCTATTACCTCGATGACGCAGCTCCATTCAATTTTATCCCTGTACAAAATACATAACGCTAGAATCCCCTATCATCAAATATATTTTTTGGTTAGTAAAAATGTCTCAAATAACCTCTTTTTTTGTATTTTTGTAAGTAATTAGGTACTAAAATTATTAATAATATAACTCCAATGGCATGAGCCAATATGAAATAATTGCTTTTGTAACTATATCAGTTAAACGAAAAAATTAATTAATCTAGTGTTTAACAATAAACACAGAGCATTTTTTTCTTTTGCTTGAATTTACTATAGTGATTTTAACTTCATTTATATCTCTAAACTTTTGGTCATTAATTACAAGAGGTAATATAGGTATATTAATATTTATTTTTTTAATAAAAATATTTAATCCACTATATGTCCATTAATCAATAGCTTCTGATCTTTCATAAGAAAGTATTTGATTTCATTAAAAAAGTTTTATATGAAATGTAAGGTGAGGACATAATTATTTTTTAGATAAAAATTTTACATTAAGATATCGAATTGGGTAACTGACAAAAGTATTAGCAAAATTTCATACAGGCTCATTTTTAAAAGTTAGTACCTATTTTATAATATTTTGATTTTTTTTTTTTTAATATAACGGGCTGGAGAGAAATGTACACCTAATCTCATTGAGTAATAATAATTAAACCTTGTATTATAATTATTTGAAATATAATAAAATGCATAAACATATTTTAATACATAAGCATACACGTGTATTAACAGTTAAAATAATTGATTTACAATTTTTAAATTCTGTAATTAAAATCTTAAACTGCAAGTTTTCTTTTAAATAAGAAAATACTTTGTAAATTATACTTATAAATTAAAATTAATAATAAATATAAAAAAGCAATAACAATTAAGAACACATTAAAAATATTTTTTACAAATGGTATTCACTCAGCTATAACTAAGGTATTTTTATGATAAAATAAGAGTATAACAATTTATATGAAACAACACATCACATTTTGCAATTTAACAAAATCACAGTTCATTTTGATTTTAAAGAATACTAATCAAATATAAAAATATATAGTAAATTAAGTAGTTATATAAATATTATTAAATAGATGTAAAGAGTGCTCAAGATAATTTTAATTTATTTACAAAATAAAATTGTGAATAACTTAGTATTAAAATTATGACACATCTCTACTTATAATGGTTCATTTTTAATCACTATAAATTATAAAATAACAATAAAATAATACTTAATTATTATAATTCTAAAAATGATGGTTTTTTCCTATGTCGTCTACCAGGTTCAAGTAAATATGTAATATCAACTTTTTCTTCATCTGGTAAATTAGATAACAATTTTGTTAAAAGTGTATCCAACCTTTGTTTTTTGATTGAATATTGAGCTTTGGATAACTTTTTAGAAGTTTGAATAGTTTCTATATGTCGCGGTCGAGGGGCTGTAGAACAATTAGTCACTTTTACCATAAGTCCGTGAGGTGCAAATGTTCTTGCTAATTTTAGCTTTTTATCATACTTTTCAAAAGCATAACTCTTAGTACAAATTGGAGGATTTTTTGACTTATTCATTTTTGCAAACATTCGTGCACATTTGTCAACTCTGTACTCACATATATACAAATGTTTATGCTCAGAGCCAATAGGATAGCCTTTGCTATATGTAGAAGGATCAAGAACCCAACACCTACCCATAATAAGATCTAATGAAATTTTTTCATAGATAGGGACTCTGACAACTTCATTAGGGTAAAATTTCCGTGTTGGTTCATGGTATGTTTCATGTGGTCTAAGGTAGTGGTGTCCAAAAGAGAAACGCTCACCATTCTCATTTTTCCACAATCGCTCTACTCTAAATATATCACAATCCGAATATTTGAAATTTTTTATAGTTTTATAAGAATGTGATTTACCACTTTCAGGATTTGTAATATCTCTAAGTACATAAACTGTATCATTCACTCGAATTTGTAAATCGTCTCTTACTAATGTTAAATAATGCACTTCTGAGGGTTCAGCATAGCTCGGTGGTACAGGTAGTTGTATTTCATAGTCAACTTCTCGGCGATCGCAACGTTCACATAAGTAATATTCTACTTTTCCAGGATCAGCTTTAATACAATCACAGTGTTGCCATACCAAACAACGTTCACATTGAATCATCAAACCTTCTTCTTCATGTAAACCACAAATACATCGCACTACATCATCTTGATCACCACCAGGATTATTTTTCTCAGCTATAAAAGCTTCTGGAATAGGTTTCTCTAAAATACTTTCAATTTTTGGTACAAATTCAATTTTAGCTAAATTATAAATCTTACGTAAACGAGTGGATATTACACCTAAATCCGAAGTCCGCCCATAATACTTTACATTGTTTGTAAGTAATTTCAAAATATCTGAATCAAATCCAATCACAGTATCATAAGCACCTATTTCAATATTATTAGCAATAGTTGTTAAATCAATAGGTTCTGATACTTTTTGATAATAATTCGGAACTCTACGTTTAGATGGTAATGTTATAAATGGTGTAGCTAGAATTTCACCAGTTTCTTCTTTAGCATTACATATTATGTCAAAAAGTTGTTTAAATATTGTGGCCAACTTAGCCTTTTTTTCCATTTCGGGATCATTTTGTGCAGTTGCTAGTCTTCTGGTTCGTACTGAACAGCTATTAGTTAGGGCATTCATTTGTGCTCTAAATACTTCAGGTTGTTTTGGTTTATTATCTTTTCCTCTTCGTTTTTTCCTTATTTTTTCTATTTTCATAAGATTTCTAAATAAACATATTTTATGCAGAAATATTAGTTCTTTATCTTCTCGACTGATTATAATAGGTGCATTTGATACTAGTTTTTGCTGTATACTAACAATAGATAAAGACTTTTTAGGAGAAGTATTAGTATTAGGAGCTGCTTTTCTTGAACGATTTCTATTACTTGGTAGATGTTTTGCAACACTGGGAGATCTTACAGTAATTCTTTGGGTTTTTCCTCCAATAACACCTCTACATTTTTGAGAATTACATTTACATAGTTGACCTTCATCTGGATTAAATAAGGAAAAATTATAGTCATAGCATAATTCTTCATCTTTTTGTATTTTACGAAGAGCAAACAATGCCATTCTAAATAATCCATTCACACTCCATTTCTGCATTTCACAGTTAGGTTCACAGGAATGATTCACAAATCTTGCTTCACCTCCCATTCTATGACCATCGATGACTGATCCTCCGTCTAATTTTAAACAATAATGATGCACGTCATTTTTATAAATAGATGTCATTCGATCTTTAAATGTTTGTTCACTTACTACTTCACCAACATACTCTAATAATAATTCACCACTTTTTACCTCTTCAGTAGTTTTAATTCCCCAACCTTTTTCTTCGGTCATGAATTTAACTAAGCCAGGAGCCCATTGTTGGTTTTGTAGACGTTGATTAGAACATTTTTCTTTACATGGACAAAGTTCAGGTGAGCATTCAGCAAATATCATTCTATTAATACAATCATCTGTACAACCTTTACCTTCAGTTGGTACTACACAATTACATGCTTGTGCTTCATAAGTACAAATTGGTTTAAAATCATAATAAACATTTGTCTTTAACTTCCTATAGTTCCAAGATTGAATTGAATGCTTTTTATCGGACTTCTTCTTTTGAGATTTTACTTCAACAGTGTCTGTTTTGGTTTTCTTAGGTAAACTTACAGTAGATGCATCACTGTCTTCTTTTTCATCTTTCTTTTTATCTTTTAACCTATTAAGAACAACAGCGCGGATACTTCTCCTTTCTGGTGTAATTTCAATTCGTTCACTTTTCGGCCGGGGATCAACACTTTTATGTTTAATAGATATATCATCAGATACTATAAGATCTATACGTTTCTTCTTTTTCTTCTTTACAGGAAATCCAGTTCGGTTTATACATTTTTTTCTTTTCTTCAACTTTCCTATTGGACTTTCTTTTTCAGGTTTAATTAATTTAACTTTTTTGACATTACTTTCATCTACTTTCTTTTTTAGTTGTAAACTTGGCATTTCGACAGTTGGCACAAATACTCCAGCAGGAGGTTTTCTTGGCTTAGGTTCATCTTTTTTTTCACTATCTTTTGCCTTAACTTCTGGTATTGCAGAATTACTTCGCAAACCTGACTTTTTCTTGATTTCAGATTTTACTTTAATCGTTTTAATTTGTTTATCAGAGTCACTACCAGAATTTTCGTCTCTAGATACATCTTCAACATATGTAACACCAGCACCTGTTGATGACGTTATATGATAATGTCGCTTTTTTAGCGGTAGTCGTTGATCATTAGTAGTTTCAGAATCCCTTGAAGTATCCGGAGATCCTTTTTTTCTTTTTTTATCAATATCATTATCACTGTAACTTGTTTTATCAATTTTTCTTTTTTTACCAGATCTGTCTCTTTGTTTTGATTTCAAAGAGCTAGATTTACCTCTAATAGTTTCTGTAATTTTAGATATATTTAAACATTGAATAACCATAGTAACCAGATTTTCCATTTCAGCAATAAATTTAGGATTTAATGCCTTCTTACGCTTTTTCTTTTTTTTCTTATTCTTTTTCTTTTTTTTATGAACTCTAATTTGTTTAGGTGGATCATAATCTAAACTCTTTGTAGTTGGACTGTTTGGTTCTAAAAGTGGAGGCATTTTCTTTGGACGACCAGGTCCACGCTTGAAATTGGCTGACAATTTGGGCAAAACGTTTTGTGTATTTGTATTACCTTTATCGCCTTTTGTCAAAATTGCGCCTTTTGGTCTTCCTCTGCCTCTTTTAATAACATTTTCCTTTTGTTTGATAATAACTGCTTTGTTTTCTAATGAATGTGAATTAGTTTTGCAACTAGGTTTTTGTACCACACTTTCTGTCTTCTCTACAAAATCTTTTAGCAATTTTGACGAATAAGCTGGTTTTTTATTTTCATCTTCAGAAGAATTATTTAAACGTATAATTGCATCATTTACAACACAACCTTTAATTTCTATTTCACTTGAGTCACTACTATCACTTAAATTTTTTGGTTGAACATCATCAAATCCAGTTGAAAAACTTTGATTTTGAACATCAGATAAAATTTCAGCTAAATCTTCTTGATTAATGACTTGTAAATGTTCAGGTTCTAAGTTTTCAAGTTTGTCCAGTTCTGAACTTGAAGAAAATGTTTTTTTTGGTTCTTCTTGCCAAAATTCTTTTTTTTTTGATCCATCACTAGAAGTACCATCATATATTGGTTGCTTCACAAAATGTGCTGATTTAGAAGAAGAACTAGATTCATCACTAGAACTTGAACTTGAATGCGAGTGTGAATCTACTGAATCTTTTGTTCTTTTTTGTTTGTCCAATACTTTTCTTTTTGACCAAGGTAGATATGATGATAATGAGGTATCTGATGAATCATCAATGTTATCATCATCAACAGAAGAGTAACCAAATTTTTTAGTGCAATATTTTTCTTTTTCAGATTCAGTTTCAGATTCAGATTCTGATTCCGAGAAATCAACTACTTGGTTAGTTATAGTATTATGAGATGTCTGAATAGGATCCTTAATAGCATCCATATCAACTGTTGAAGGCAAGTCTTCTAAATCAGAATCATGTGCTGGTTGATGAATAACAGCACTCCACGCAGAACTGCTTAGAAGATCACCACAGACTTTACTTACAGATTCGTTACTTTGCCCTGAACTATTCATTGTAGTTGTGTCGTTTGTTAAAATCATAATAAAGACATATTTTACACTTAAATCTAATGAGAATTTTTTTTTAAGTGCACATTTTCCAACATATTCATGTTATTAAACAATATAAACAAATGATGGACAAAATTATATGACAATGATGAGATTTTTGTTATGATTAATGTGATGAACTTACTGCTTCAGCGTTTAATGAAAATAATAACAGTTCACCAATTCAATTTCAGTAAAATCTGAAAAATATTTTAAAATGTTTCAATAAATTTTTGTAACAATATTTCATTAGAAATACGTAGACTTTAGTTTAAGATAGTACTAATACAAAATTATAATAATATATAAAAATATAACATTACTTTGGTCAAATGGTTTAACTAGAATATTATTTTTATTTTGGAGGAAGGTAAATGATTAATATTTTTACCTATTGTGTCAGAGGAGGAGGTGACAAAGTCTCATTCCTCTAATTATTCAGCAATAATATAATATATATATAAGAATACATTATTTATCAGTTATTATGTTTTGTAGTATAATTGTAAAAGTAGTGTAAAGCTAGTACTATTCATATTATAATGTGTACAATTTTTAAAATCATACCTAAACATAATAATTAATTAGTAATTGCACATAACGCACATAGGAAAATAATTTACAAGCATAATTATTAAAAAAATAACCGTATTTTAATATGAACATTTGAAACAGGGGAAAAATACTTTGTGATGATTATATCACAAAATATAAATTAAGGTACAATGAGGTCCAAACTCAAATCTGTTTATGCATACTATACCAGAAACTGCAAACAAATTTATTCATTCACGCTTTTGGTATGTTATGTTTTTAAAACGGAGCAAATATATATATATATATTTTTTTTTTTGTTACATTTTGAACTAATATTGCTTTTAATGTTATACATTAATTAAGTTTCAGAATCATGCACATAGTTATATACTTAATATTATGTTCTGTAACAATATGTATTGATAACATCATAAGAAGGTACACAATAGCTAACATACAACTTGACCATTATACATTTCTGAGTATAAACTATAGCTAATACCTACTGTGAGCACATATTTATTTGAATAACAAAGAAGAAAATCTGATTATTAGTTCTTTAAAAATTTTAGATGTTGTAATCTGTTGAGTAATTATACAAATATGTTCTGCACTCTAGTTAAATATAGTTTAATCGTATTGTAACAAAATACATGAAAAAATCGTTTTTTGATGCATGTATCCGAATACATCATAATTTAAAGCTATGAAAACATGAATTATAAAGAACGTATTGCGTCTACAGAGAAGTACAACTAGTACAGGACGGACAGACATTAAGTATATTACATATCGAGACATTGAGTGTTACTTACTTATAGATCAAAATATGTTCGTTCTGATATCGTTCTCATTGGAATGCATTCCCAGCTTCTATTTTTCCTCCAACAGCCAACAGGCAACAATTATAAGTAGAAATAGAATTTATCAATTTTCTCTTCGATGATAAATTTGTCATTTGTTTGGTTATCCGTGTAATAACTAATACTATTATTATTATTATTATTATTATTCACGATTCCGTTATCAGTATCACATGGAAATGGCGAAACGCGTCTGTATTTTAAACAGCGGGTAATTAGTTGTAAGTCGTTGAATCTTGTATCATTTAAATTGGTCGACGATTGTGTTTTTCGACCACGGCTGACTAGGTTTTAGATCATTCAAATAATTGTAAAATTTACACAAAACAAACGATCGATTGCCAAGTTAATTTTGTAACTTTCAAACAAATTCGATTTATTTATTTTTAACCGTATAAAATTAATTTATGCATCTGTTAAATGTTTGTTTACAGTATGTTTCTTGTCAAATAATGCTCTTATCATTATTAACGTTTAATATCAAAATGTTGTTATCGAGTATTAGACTTACATAACATAGTGTTAATTGTTGTAGTCTTGTAGAGTTGTAGACATGTAGACCAATAGGTATCGTAGAAAGAATGAAATTTATAAATTCCTTAATTATTAATTATTATTCTGTGCTGGTATCTTAGTACCAGTGTACCATTATTACCACTAGTGCTTACTACTTATGTAAGTCTAGAATCGTGTTTCGTAAGCTGCTGCTATCAGTATGAACTATTAAATATCTAACTAAATTGTTATAAGATATATTAATTCATTTATCCTGTATACTCGGTCATTAAATCGTCCATAATTGCCACTTTTGTTAGTTGTAAGACAGCATTTGCTTAGTTATTATATGTAAAAACTTAAATGTCTGGACCATAAAAATCAATTATAATAATATAATGGTAAATAATATGTAAAAAGCAGGCTTTATTTTAAGGATATTTTCCAACTGCAAAAATGTAGTAATTTGAGAGGACTTTGTATTTGACACTATCCGAAATAAATATTTTTATTTAAACAACAAAAAAAATTAAATAGGTACAATAATACATTTACCTGTATGACTAATGACGAAACAAAAAACATCTTGCTACAGTTCTTTTTTCTAAACGTTTGATGAAAAATATTGTGGTTTATCTTAAAAATTTGGAAGTTTAGTTGTTGTCCCGGAGGGGTAGAATTTAAAACAATACATTGTTTAGTTTGGTTAGCTTTATTTTCATTAAGCGATCGTCGATGTTAAGGCGGATTTTTTATATAGTTTCTATAAATTATAGAATATTCTTATCAATATTTTCACATTAAAGTGTATATACATTTGCTTGTTTCTAAGATTTTCTATTACCTACATAATATTTAAATTATAAATAATGTGTAATCGAGCTATTGTTTTCTGTACCAAAGAAAAATGGTTTTGTTAATTGTAGGATGTTATCCAAATTGTTTTCGTCTAGTTTACTATATAGATGAATTTGAGTGAGAGAATAGGTACCTACCTATTTTTGGTTTTTTTTTTTTTTATTGGTTGTTATTGGATTTTGGGTAAAACGGTGATTTTTCTAAGTAGTATCTGATAGAAATCTTTTGATTTGGTATTGAATATTATTGTTTAATATGTTTTCATTTTGGTTATTAGAGTAAGGTAAATTTAGAGAGTTATCTTCTATAGTTTTGATATGTTGATTCTTATGGTTGGGTGGCTGAGAGATTTTCTCTGTTTATTGTATTTTTATTACACGATATGGATGTATGTCCAATCGACTCGCAAGTGAAGCAGGTAATTGTCATCAGTAAAGAAAATTCTGAAGTTTGTTCTATTTATATTTATTAATAACGAATCAGGGAGTTTCGATACCTATTTGAAGATGTTTATTATAGATTTGACGTCGAAAATTTACAAGTGTTCGTATCCAATTTCTTTTACACCGGTTTTGAGGAAGTTGAATTTGGATAGTGGTATAATATGTTAATATGTTCAACTGCATCCAGTATTGACTGGTTAAAGATGTGGAGGGGCATACATTAGACATTATAATTATTTTAGCGTTATTGAGGAGTCTGCGTATGGGAATTTCGTATTCGTTTATTTTTAGTATACCTTGTGATTTTTCTGTTAGGGAATTTAATATCAGTCTGCTTGATAAAAAAAAAAAATGTATAGACATTTTTGATATAAATATAATGTTGCTTGGAGAGATAATTTGTCCGATTGCAATAATATAATAATGTAATAGTCCTTCGACTGGGTATAGAACGATAGCCTGTTCTCTTTTTGTCTTTTGGCGTGTTTGAGTTGGTCGTAGCTAGGGCATAGTTCAGTTTATTGTACTGATAGATAATGGGTTGTATGTAGATCGGCCGACTTCGGGGGTAGAGAGGGTAGATGCAGATTGTGTGGTGTTGGTAATGTGGTTAGTAACGATATGCGAACTGATCGTGTTAACGATAAGCACATAAAGCGAAACATTCGTTGCAAATTTTACATGTAATTTGGTTTTAGACGGAATATTTGTAGTTTTGTAATTAGTTGTATTTCCTTTATATAGGAATTTTAGAGATGAAAATTTGTTAGAAGGCATTTTTAAAGACTGAGCGACCGGTTAGTTAGCATTCATTTGCTGGCGTGTTATAATTATTAGATAATCATATTATTACCTTATATAAATGCAATTTGGCGTCGTAATGTGTTTGCTATCGAAGCTAAAATGCGCACTCGCGAAAGATAACACACGTGTTGCTCTGTCGGTCGCCAAACACGTACTAGTTATACTTTTCTTTCTTATTACAGTACCTACCTAATTATCGTTATTTAAAAAATTATGGTGTTACCCATGACACATCATTAAGCTATATACCATTTTTAATTCATGTTAACTCAATTTTAGTACCTTTATTAAAAGATTAATTATTTATATTTACTAATTACTGATGATATAGCTCTAGTCAATGAGTAATATCAAACATAATTGAGATGAATTAAAATAAACTGTCAAAATTGACTAAAATTTATCTGAATGGAATAAAAATCTATTAAAGCTCATAACTGTTGGATATAACTAGAGCTTGGAAGTTGATGACCTTAAAAACAATAAAAAATGACCATAAAAATGTCCTAAAAAAATTACAAATATTAGTTTTATATTAATAAAAATACATTTTTTTTTAAATATTTTACTTTATTTTACTATAAAATTCAAAATATGACATAAAAATGACAAAAATGTCCTTAAAATAGGAAAATTAAAAATATTTGTTTTATAAATGTCTGTGGTTTAAGTTATCGCATAATGGTCAACAAGAAACGATAAGAAATGAACTAGTGTGAAATCAGTAAAAATAACTAAAAATGTGGGTAAATGACCTAAAAATCTCAAAAAAAATGACTTAAAAAGTAATAAACACCAAAAAATGCAAAAAAATGCAAAATAAAAATTAGTTATTTAGATTCACATGCTTATGAAACAGATTTGTGGCCAGGAGAACATCGTCTAAAAAGTTCCAAAAAAAAAAAAAATGCAAAATGCATCAACTTCCGAGTCCTAGATATAACATATAACATTAAAACACATAAATGTAACGTTTATGACTGGTTGCAATTGTAAATCGACTAAAATGGTATTTTCATTAAAATATTTAGAAATTAGAAAAGTACATAAAACAGTTTAATATAGCACTAACTAATTCAATAAGTAATTTTGTATACCTACATGACAAAACCAATATTAAATAATTTTAATAATTATGTAAAGGTTCTAACAAAATGTTTAAACAAAATTCATTTCTCTAATTCCAATAATTTATAATATAAATATAAACCATGTAAAAAATCAATCAGTAAAATTATTAATGATCTTAATGAGAATATGACATGTGTACCAATCAAATAAAATTATAAAATGTCCAGGGATATGTAAACATATTTCTAACTTAAATATAAAAGGAACTCCGAGCATCAGATGCAAGCTTAAATGAGTTGGTACACATATCAACTTTTATTAATAAAATTTAATCCAAGTTAATATTATTATTTATTCAATTATGCTAAGATAAATAAATATAAAATATAAAAACATATTTATACCAAGTCATTATTGATTGCATGATATTTTATAGTTGAGTAGCCATTAATTTTGTTTGGTCAACTTCCGTGTTAATTTTTTATAGTGTGTACCTATAAACTTAAGAAAAAATTAAACATAATTGTACTACAAAAGCAACGTTGCAAGACAATTATAATAGTATTTATTGAAAAAATTGATGAAATCAAAATTTTCATATCTCATGAATTATATACACTGTATAATGATTATTAATGAATAACTAATACTGTTTATCGACAATAATTTATTTTGCATTTATTAATATGACTAGAGGGCGTTATATGTCAGCATATACAACATTTTGTATCTGATATTTGATGAAAATATTCTTATATAATATACATTAAAACAATACAGTATAAATAATTAATAAAGCTTAAAAAAGAAACATTTAAAATTGTACATAGGCATAAATAAAAAGATTATCACAAAAATAATACAATAAATAATCTAAAATTAAGCTAAAATTATGCTTTATCTTAATATAAACTTAGTCTAATTTAAAATGAGAAATATAGAACGACATAATAATTTATGACATAGAAAAAAAAAAGGAATTAATACTCTTTCACATGATTTGCACTCATTTTGGTCCCAGCGCAACACAATAAACATTTCCCATAATTTATACTATATAATCGTATCATATTGTTTACTTGTTTAGTATCTTTAAATGTGAGTCTGAACTAACTATAAAATGTTGAAATTAACTTTATGATTTATAGATGACCATCTTAAAATTTATTAATTATTATTCATTCGTGCTATAATCAAATAAGTATGGTTAAGTAAATCATTATTTTATTATTATGAAGCACCAATTGGGTATGTAGGGTTTTAGTTAAACATAATTTATATTAATATTTAATTACATATTGAGTATTTATTAATACTTATAATATTCATTAGTTTTATAATAGCTAAATGGCACAAGACAAAAAAAAAAAAAATATTTCATTTATTTTATATTACACATTAATATTATTTATGCTAAAAAGAAGAAAGATGTTTTGTAGAGTTATTATTACAGAAATACTATTGAAAATTATAAGTATAATATTTTTAATATCATAATAGTAATGTCTACATATTATAGGTACCTCAAGTAGAACTTATACTCTAAAAATCTACGAATTAGGCCATAGTAACTTATATCACGTAGAGTTTAGAGTGCAATTGATTATTTCACTTGACTGATCTGTTTTCAATTATGTGGGACACAACACTAAAAAAAAAAAAAAATTATTAATAACATTTTTAGTATTTTTTTTTTTTTAAATAAAGAAGAGTAATACATTATAAGTAAAACATATAATGCCGCATGGAATTCGGAGATAGGAGGTTCTCTATACCAAAAATTGTAAAATAATAAAATAATTGCTAATTAAAATATATTTATTCATATCAAGTATAAACAAATCAGATACAATATATAATAATAACAACAATAAAAAAAATAAAAAAAAAAAAAAAAATACTTATAAAAACTAAACTGATATATATTGTTGTCTATTAATTTTATCGAATAAAATCATTTTCAGATAAAAATTTTTTTTGTTGATACCCTAATTTAGATTAAATTTAATGGTCAATCAACACAGTCACCACATTATTTAAAAAATATAACTTACTGTTAATAATTAAGTAGTTACAGAACTAAAGCACCTCTGATAACCTGAATTACTGGTTATAGTAGTAATAAAATGTATAATTACTATAATTACAATAAAAAATCACACAAAATTCAAAAGAATTTAACTTTTTACATAGTTTTAACTCCCTCAAAAAATTCTGGATATGTTACTGATTTAGAAAGTATAGTTTTAGAATATTTTTTTTTCTAAATTATTTAGCATAATACAAATTTAGTTGATTATTATTTATAGTTCTTTACCAAGTTTGTCATGTGAAAATTCAAATAAGTATTACCTAGGTTGCGGAAAAAACAAGTTTAAATGTATTTCTATTTTTAGAATGTTAACTACAGTAGTTTAAAATAATTAAGATGTGCATGTAGTTAGGAGGAAAATAATGTTTTAAATTAAAGTTTAAAACTCAATAATTGGTATGCATAAATTTGTTCGTTATTAAACAAAAAGATAATTAAATTAAATTTATAAAATTAACAAGAATTGAAAATAAGAAATATTATATTAATCAATATTTATTGTTTTAAGTATAAGTGAAAAAGTAGTATATTAATATTTATAAACAGTTTTTAAAGTATTTAATTAAAAATATAATAAATATGGTAAAAAAATTTAAGATTCAAGAATGTAATATTTACCTTTAAGAATGTAGTCTGTCAGTAATGTTGGTACTGTGGGACTGTCTTCATTTATTGCTTTTAATACTGAAAATGTTATATTTATAAATGTGTCATTTAATAAATCAATTAAAAATATAGGTAGATTTATTTTCCTTACTTTTAATGAGAACTTGAAGGGCCTGATTACTTAAAGGTCCACTATCCAAATGGTATGGTATGACAGTGGTTAAATACTATAAAATATCAGATAGTATATAATCAAATAGTTATAAAAAACAAAACATATATCAATACAATACAAAACATACTTTAGGCTCATTTGTTACGTTTTTATTTGTATTTCCTGCTCTTGAATTACGTTTTTTTTCCACATGATATTGTCTTCTTCGATTTTGAACAGCCAATAGCAGTGATATAAATGAGTTTTTTAATTCTTTTTCAAATTCCAACTCGTCTCTTAAGGCCAGTTCTGTAATTAATGTTTCAGAATAGTCTCTGATCAGCAACTCTAATTCCATGTAAACTTCATTAAGTTGAGATACATTCAATGTTTTTAATTCTATACAAAAAATAACGGTTATTAATATAAACTATTTTAAAATTAGGTTATATTTATTAATAAATATGAACAAACTTTCTTCTAGCAACGGTGAATGAACTTCCTTATGATGTTCAGAATCTGGAGTACAGTCATTTGAAGTACCCTCCTGATATATAAATATGTGTTTTATAGTATCTATTAATTAACAATTAATGTTTAATTAAAACATTTACAACATACTTCCATAATGTCATCAATTTCTCTAATGACTTCATCAGCAGTTGGAGGTTCAATATCAGCACTGGGACCAGATAATATCAAAGTATGCAAATCTAAATCGTTTGAAACAGCTTCATCTTCACTGCTAAGATCATCTGAGGATTCATCCTACTCAGAAAATTTGACATTTAGTTTGATTTAAATTATTAACAAATCACTATAAACTATATTGTTTAACCTGAATGTTGTTATTTAAATTGAGTACTGGTAGTTGAACTTTGCGTGCATATGACTTGGACCAATCAATAGGAAGAATATTGCCAAAGTTGCCTGTGATTGTCCACCACATTCTAAAATAAGAAAACATAATTTGCTTATTGATACTTGAATTGACAAATATTATTGTTCAATATTGATGATAAATAACAGATGAATAATTAAAATTAAATGTTATTATTGAAGAAGATTTCAATTATCATATTTTATAACATAATTATTTTATTGAAATTATTGACTACATAATAAACAATTTCTATAAACTTATTATTTATACATGTATATTACACATTTTATTCATGTATTATACTATGAATAATGTGTAGATAAATAATTTGACCTTAGTCCATTAATTAGGATAAATAACATAAATTACTACTAATTTAAAAGGGACAACTCAATAAACCATATGTTGAATTTTAGAAGGCAACTGAAGCAATTGACCTTACTTTAAGTGATCTTAAAGCCATTTTAAGTGTGCTTTACATATGTAAATTATTTCAATAGTTTAAACTAAATGTTAATACTTTATTATAAATTATAAATAAATATACAAATAATAATAATTATTTTTCTAAAACTATAACATTTCACATTATTTTATGAGCAATACATTACACATAGAAAAAAAAACATAACTTAGTTTTAAGCTATTAAATAATTATAACAAAGGTAGCTAAGTTTATAAAAAGAAGTGGTTAAAAATTATTATATAAGTACCTACTTGAAATAGATTCAAAGTTTGGGCCTTGTCTTAATACATGATAAATTTTAGTTCTATTTGCTCACTTTAAAAATAAGCATTTGTAGATTAAACCAATTATGCAAAATAATATTATTTATTTAAATTTTACATTTCACTACCTTTGTTTAAATTATGTACAAAATACAAATATATAGTAAATACACATACTAAATAATTAGTTTGAATTTCAAATAGAAAATAATAAAAAAATAAATACCTATATATTTTAGTTTTGTATTAGAATGTCTTATAAAAAGAGGTTGTTTAAATTGACTATCTATTATGCTAATTATTGTCTACACAAATTTAAAAAAAGTTTGATAAGTAAATAAGTAGCCATGTAGGTGATACATAAATTTAAAATCCTAGACTTACTTGGCTTGATAAGTAGATTAAATATTTAGGTGTGTCACATTATCAATGTTGACATCATTATTTAAACATTTATTTGACCTTTTTTCTTTCTTAATTAATAAGCATCACATTAAAATACTTATAGTAGATAACTGATTTAAACACTACTTCTTAGCTGTTAATATGAAATTTCACAGTACCTATTACAGGGGTGTGATATTTAATTGATAATCTGATGAGTTATGAAATTTTAAGTCTCATTAAAAAAAAATTAAGTTTGATTACTGTAATATCATTCATAGGTATTGTATTTGAAAGAAAAAAAAATAGAAAATAATAATTTATAAATCATAATTAATAAATAACAAAATAATGAAATAGGTATATATATTTTTAAGGTATTTATTGTGATAAAAATATTAAAATGAATTACTATATAAGGGAGGAAAATATTACCAATATTAAATACTACCTACCTACATAGCTACAATAGTGATCAATCATGGGCGTCCCGGGGGGGGGGGGAACGGAGTACTTGCTTTCCTCTTTAGAATTTTAAATTTGTTATCTAATTGTAATAATAACGAAACATGATAATGTTCTATAAATAAAATGTATAATAATAATACCATTAATACCTAATTGTAATAATGAAAAAACATAATAATGTACTACCTATAAATAAAATGTATAAACAAATTTTCATTTATTTTTTAAATTAATTTTGCCCCCTTCCCCTAGAAAAATGTTTGTGATCAATAGATACAAATTTATCATTATATAATAAATTAATAAAATAAAATAATAAACACGAATTTGATAAACCTAAATTACTACAGATAGGCTTAAAAAAAATGTATAATAAAACAATACATAAATATGTACTTCTTAATATACAACGATTAAACTTAAATTCCTTCGTTCTCCGGTTTTATAGTTGTATAAATATATTTTTAAATAGTCTAAAAACACATTAATAGCCGCAAGATGGGTACCTATGGGCTATATATGTAGTATATACATTATATATATAATCTGAGTTTTTGAGACATCTGTCCTACACACATAACAATTGCATTTAATATGTCGCAGGATTGGTAAAACTATTCTAAAGAGCACCCTAAAAGAAGTAGTCGTAATTTTAACGCGAGTTTCATTTTTAAAATAATTTAAAATAAACTAGATATATCTTAAATACTTATAGTTTAATTTTTATATTAATGTTATTACCAATTTAGTAATATTTAGTATACTTAGTATACTTAAGTATTAAATAAATGTTTAATTTTATTGTATAGGTACAATGAAAAATTTAATGTAATTAAAAATTAGAAATGTTTCAAACTGTATTTATGATAATGTAAATATATCTATAATAAAATTGTAATTACAATATAGGATACAAAATATGGATAATATTAATATACAACAGGCATATACCTACTCATAGATAAAACCAAATTTACTTCCGCTAAAAATATAAAATGCGTCAATCACCGAATAATAGACTACGCACAAATAATATCCTATGTTAAAGTGTATATTATATAAATGAATAAAAAAAAAAAAACAAGACACAAGGATATTATAAAATTAACGCAAAGCATATATATTGTGGGATAGTTAAAATATTTACAGAATCATCATATACATTTTGCATTGGCGACCATTCTTAGAAACAACTTCACAGGCCTTTCATTATTATTAAAACACGAAACGTGATCACGATTCAGCATATGATTTAATTTAATTCTCTATTATTATAATACACAGAGATAGAATATAACACTTATCACACAGTATATATATATTATATTTGTTATTAAGACATTTCAGGTTAACTATTTAGTATTTATCCCAACAATTATTTGAATGACACGATTTGAACAGTAAGTTCTGTATAGAAAATAGGGTGTAGTGTAGCTGTTCTTTTATGGTAATCCAGCAATAGACAAGCGACTGTGGGCCATCTCTAACATGTTATGAAATTATGACTAATATAACTGTAATATAACTATAATATACATTATACATATACATATATGTTATATTATGTATATAATAGTTATCAAAGCATAATATTATACTATAGGGTTTGTATATATTTTACGTAAATTTTGTTGTTGTTTTTTTTTTTATACATTCAAACAATAGTAAATATTATATTTTATATTATATAACATTAAGATAGTTTTTTTTTATTTTGTTTCAGCTACTTATTTATTCAATGTTCATTTTAAACACAAAACCAATTTAGTGAATAATTATACATAATTAATCAATTGTATATATATATAAAAAAAAAACTAGAAATTTAGATTAAATAGTTAGTGTGGAGAAGAATTTTAACGCAATTATGTCATGAACTGTATGGGTTAAGTCTCGGTTACCTGTAAGTTATTATGTGCATCATTATGGTGGCAGTATAAAACTGGTTTTTTTAGTTTTTACAGACCATAACAGGTAGTACATTCGACTATTCGAGATAAATCCACATGTTCATGTATAACAAAAAGATGCCTATGGAACGGTTAATAATTTCATGTTGTCATGAATCATTTCAAATTAAATGTATACCAAAAACGAATCAAACTTGTAATATTATTAAACATGTATAGTTACGTATTTTTCACATGTATTTGATTAACATAATGACATTTGAATCTATAAAATAATAAATATTTGGTAATTCATCACAAATGCTAGATATTACTCATAAATATAAATTGATCAGTAGGTAAATATTAAAAATGAATAGTTTTAATTTACAACAACTATTATTAATTAACCATTTGTCCTGTATGCATTAATTATGTATTCATCAAGAAGCAGATAAATATATAATTGAACCCATATAATAATCATAAATTACCTACAAATTAAGTAAAGTGGGTCTGCGACCTGCGTACACATCGCTTGCACACATTAGTACGACATGTAATTTGTGCACACTTTGAGGATGTCAGCGCACTATGTAGATATTTATTTTCTCTCTCTGACCCATGGGTAACAAAGTAAATTTCCGTTCAGCAGAACTAACCTAGTTCTATTAATTATTATTAAACTTAAGTTAAGAACATAATCTATGTTTATATGTGGACTATTTTACGTTTTTTCAATTTGTATGTTAGTTATGAACACGTAAAATTTTATAATTTAGAAATGTTTATACTATCTTATTTTATAATTTAAATATCTTAAAAATCCAATGTACAAACGATAATTTACTTAACTTTAAGTTTAGTAATAGGTTAATTCTCTTTTATACTAAAGCAAACACAATACAAGGTTGATTCATTCACTATATTTCTGGTGGTTTGGTGAGAAAATAAACAGTGAGCTGATATCCTTTAAAAAATAAAACGAAGTCGCTTATTTATACATTTTAATCACGTTTCGGAATAAAATCAGGAAAATTAAGCAATACACAGTAATATATTATATTGTAATAAATATTAAGTTAAGTATAAACATATTAAATATTTATCTATGACTATAGTTTTTATTTTTGATTGCTGAAATGATAAATATTAGTAAGACGTGTATGAATAAAAAATATAATATACACATGAACACGATTAATCGATAAATTATTAATTTAAGTAAACATAACGTAATATAATGTATATTTTGTTCGTCTAGTATAAAAAATATGAGAGATCATTCAAAAACTTTCTCCTAAAAAAAGTAAGTGACTATTAGGTAGGTACTATATAGTGAATATTTACCTATAGCTTAACATGAGTTTATTATGTGCGTTGTGCACCAGAGATCAGACGTTTCAAAACGTTTCTAAAAAATACAACATTTGTTTATATCTAATTGTCACAATGATTAAACTTATCATAGAGATTGTAACTCACTCAGTAGATGTATTACAATATACACTATTTATACATTTTAATCAGTGATAGTAATATAGGTCGGTACAATATTCCAAATGACCAAATAGATATATAATATCATAAAGTTGATGTCAAAAATTCAGCATATATTTTAGACGAGCAACCTTTTATAAAAATATTATTTGAAAAATCTGTATTATTTGTTTGTATGATATAAATATAATAATTATTATTATTATTACTTACTATTAATATACTTTTTATACAATAATACTTATGTATACAATATTATATAATTTATTAAAAATAATAATACGTAGGTACTATAATATGTTGATTATATCATACAAAATAAATAGTTTCAATTTAACTTTATTTATTTATGTTGTTTAATTAGGCACTAAGTATTTATGCAAAAGTACAATTATAATAATTATTATTAGAAATGATAATCATTACATGAGTAAATTAAAAAAATGTATCTTAAGTAAATGACAAATCCTAAATTTATAAGCTTTCAGCAAATAAACAATATAAATCTTGAAACTCTGGCAGCGCTTTATAAAGTATAAAACGCCAAGATTGTTTTGACGAAAAAGTTGTTAAGTTAAAAATAGGGAAGTATCTACATGTTATATGTGTATTATATTTCAAAACTAACATTTTTGCATTTACGGTCTAACCTTGAACTTTGGACAACAGCCAGAGTATTTAATTATGTGTGTGAATCTATGATAGACGTATTGTAGGTTATTATTTAAATAACATTATAGCAGTTCTAATTTATTTCTAATTTTAGTTCCAGAATGCCAAATATTTTGCTATTAAATATCTAAATAAATAATTAAGAGTAGCCAAACTTAATTAAACGCTTACAGTATATGTTTACAGAGAATTCATTTTCTTTAATAATATAATATATAATTTACAATTTACTTGTTTATATTCTCATACTTCATAAATCATAATAATGCAAATGACAAATTGCTTAAATAAATGTTAATATAAGTACATACTATTGAATAATGACTTTTAAATGTTTATTGATTAAATATAATGGAAATAAATCACTGTAGTTTAGATTAATTTAGGCATTTAACCTAAATTACTTAATCATTACTGAACATTTTTTTTTATTCACCTAATTAATAATGTTAAGTTGCAAACAAAATATTTTAAAATATATAATTAGATGTTTTATTTATACCTAATTTAATTTGATTTAGATTTACTTAATTGTTTATAAAAAGTATATTTTTTTCGTAACGATTTTCACCGGATATTATCTAAAAAAATAATGTTATAATATTAAATTTAAAAGAAAATTGTAAATATATTTAAAACTAAGATACTAATAAGTAATAGCCATATCAAATAGGTATTGGAAGTTTAAGAATAATGTGGAAAACACACTCTGAAATTCTTTTTAAATAAATAAACAGTATATTGCACATATTAAATAATTTATAAATAATTATGTATCCATATTACATGATTATTAATACCTTTTATAAGTTAAAAATGTCCGATTATCATTAATATCAACAATTTATTAGTATATTTGAGAAATAACTGAGAAATATGTCAAGGGTAATATATATGTATTATATAATATTATTAAATTAATAGTAGTTGATACAAATTTATCAATTAATGATAAAAAATTTTTATAATTAATCTAGGATCTTTGTAAGATTTCTTCTGGTACGTATGTGTCCTGTTTATTCAAATGTTATAGTGAAAAAAATATATCACTTACTACAAGTTATTATTATACAATAATGTTCACACGATTTTGAACAAACATTTTTCATGATTTACGTAGGCTTAACTCGTTCGAAAGATTTTTAACGTATAATTATTAATTTCGAAATGGACATTGGTGCCTATTACTCAATAAAATAAACATTAAATATTTATATTATTATTTATTACCGCAACAGTCGTAGCCATTAGCTCATCACAATATATATTTGACAATACTTATTATTGTAATAATAATGATTCTCGTCATTATATTATTCATTTGTTGTTTTAATAAACTTACAAAAGGTTTACGGTGGTGATTCACTCATTCGCGTGCCGAGGCGTAACGATCTCATTGTAGTACCTATATAATAACCCGTCCACTCGTAAATAATGCATATTGTGTTAGGTCGAGTAGGCGAATCGAGTTTTTAGTCATTGGAATCTTAGTAAATACTCAATGATATGAAATATAGGTAAACATTTGTAATAAATCAGCTGTCATTGTATTGAAATATATAAAGTAAATATATCATTATTGTAGATGTCGGTGTGAATAAGTACAAAGATACGACTATAGGAATATTTGATTTTTGCTTGCATGTATGGACCGTGTAGTGTATTCCGCATGCGCGGCTGAGGCTATCGGTTGAGGAAAAAGGTATTCAGTTAAATGACGACGATGACGATGTTCGATCTATATATGTAATGTTTGACCTACAAAATTATAACAGCTAGGTACCTATCTATATAGGGTGATGAGCCACTGTTATTACCTACAATACTATTTGTTTACACAAAAACTCGGTAACCCCATTCAGTATAAATATGTACGATGTACCTAACATCCCTAGTAGACCTTTCTAACTGCAAAATCGAACAATTCTTCCTTACCATTATTTAAGTTGTATACAAATGTTTTTATAGACTATTGTTGCAGTTCAACTTGTAAATTTTAAAATACAATCAGCAAATAATTAATAGATATATTATTTCCATATTTCTCTGTATGTAAAAATAAAATATAATACATATATTAAAATCCACCTTTCCAGATTCGCCCACATGTAAATACTAATATAACCTTAATAAAAACAATCAATACAGTGCAATATTATGATATAAATTACTTAAATCTTATTTAATTACGATATATAGAGTGTAAGGTAGTAGGTGCAACTTACTGGCATTCATTCATTATTTCTTCTTGAGTCCTAATCTGAACTGGTGCTAATTTTTCTACAGACTCCTCGTAATCGCAAAAGCATCTGGTAATTTTATCGTCGAACGTGTGTACAAGATCTTCCAGAGACCCGCTAAATGTCTCCCCAAAATTGTCCGTATCCGACGTCGTCACCTCCACGCCAACGTTGTTGTTATTCGCTCCACACTGCGTGCACGGAGATTTGTTCGCAGGTTCCAGTGCCCTACTACTGTTGCTTAGCATGTTGTCCAGTTGCTCTTTATCTGCATCGTGTACGCTAACACCTAACGCCGGCTGACTATTTCCTTGTTGATGATGGTGATTGTGAAGATTGAGTTTGGCCGACTGCAGCGGCGAATCATCGTCCATCATTTTTGTCCACTCATCCGACTCCTCGAACTGCGCCAGAGGCGCTTCGAACTTCAGTTCGGCCATTTTGTTCATCATATCAAGCATAGCTCTCAGAAAATAAGCGTTTAGACTGGTCGACGGCGATGGATAATAAAAACAATATTAATAGTGTAAAGATGGGCCTACCGAGACATAAGAACGTACGTAATGAACGTACCGTTAATAAAAACACAAACGACAAGGCACGCGGTCCGAACAGCACTGAGCACTGGTAACTAAGCAGTGAGCGACTGAACGAGTAGCAACCGCCAACCACCGTGAAACGGTCGCCCGCCGCCGTAGGGATCGTGAACTGCTTGGCGCCGCAAATGTACGGTGCTGTGACAGTGTCGCGCATGTACGGTAATTATTGTATGCAACACGTTCGTTTTCGTCGTAATTAGGTTCAATCATTATATCATTAAGCTATTTAAGCTAATATTATATTGTATACAGAGTTGTTAGTTTTATCAACACTTATTCGAATTTAATAATAATTGATTGATACTTGATTTTATTACGAATAGACGAGTTTTTTTTTTAGTTCCAACAGCTGGCGTAGTTAAACAACGATATTTGTCATCACTCTATAAAAAATTCTGACAACCAAATTCACGAAGATACGTAAAATAATAAATATTCTTGACAATAAAAATAGTTCATTAAGGATTTAAAATTTAAATTAGAAGTTTAAAATTGTTTTATAGTGTCGATGACATACGGTTATTTGATGAAACTTAATTATAATCAAACTTGAATGTATTAATAGTTACAATCGTCAATTTCAACATTTTTTTACAGAGACACATCACGTATCTGTGTTGAATTATATAAATCTCTGCCTAATGTCGAGAGGTACATCGTGCATATTTTTACTATATATATATATATTATATGGCATTTACAACTTTGGTGAATATGTTGGTCATACTGAAAGTTTTATTTGGTCGAATAATTGTCAAAAGCCTTGCTGTGTACTGCGATTGTGTGTACAAGAAAGGAGCTCGCGCATAAAAGGGCGGAATGCGCCGTCCCCTCACTCTCCTCCCTGTAAAGCATACTATTGATCCGTAAACACTGTGACCACTTGCTGCTGCGTATATATTTTTTCCCATAGTATTTTAAAAATACTAAATAAAAAATAAAACACAACATATAATTCGCCTAAAATTAATAAAAAAAATAATAATTATGCATAGGTAATATTAATTGTTCAGTTTTTTGTCATGTCAATATATCATAGACTAATACAGTAATAAAATAATAATGTTTTTATAACTGATTGCCCTACGTAATATAAGTAGGTAGTTAAAAGTTGAACTATTTCTTTTTTACCAATAATAATCGTTATTCTCTCTAAAAAAAAAAAAATAGAGTGATAGGTCATGTTATTAATGATTTCAATACATGTTTATGCGTGTTTTAATTTACGGCCTATGTGAACAATTTTAGAAACAAAACTTTATTGGCACTATTGAGTAATTTTTGTATTTTTTTCAATAAACTTATGAGTTATGAATGGAAATAATTATTTAGATAGGTGAACTAAATAAACCAATTTTATTGAAAATGGAATTTCTATTCAAAATCAATAAATCGAATATGATAATATAATATTATGTAATAGGTATTAAATATAAGCATAAAGTCAGTGCTTATTAAATCATAAGTAAATCGTGTACTTGTATCTTAATTTTTAACATAGCATATGTATATTATATCTAATACTTGTTTTTGAAAGATAAAAAAATAATAATATGTAAATACATTTTTAGGAATCGAACACAATTATTACAGATACGAGTATAAATACTTAATAAAAAACATGATTATTTACTATATGGACTTGGGGTATTTTACAGTGGATATTAATATTATTTTCTTCTTTATTCTATAGGTACTGAATATTATATACTGAATTTTTTACGATATTACAACCTACAGAGGAAATACTTTATTTGGATGTTTTCTTGGGATATACTTTAATGAAGCTCATATTTCATTTTCTAATACAACAAATAGCTGTAAGATTCAAATTATTCTACAAACATATTGTATTTTATCATACATTGGTTTATTATGCAATTATTATAGCTTACGTTTAATATTTATGAAGATGGTTTAATATATTATATTAATAAAGAATAGAGTATAATTTTTCCTTAGGTACCTAACTAGCTATAATATTATATAGTATTTATGAAATACAATAAAAATTACTTAAAATAACAATTTGTATGGTGCAGGGTATTACGAGATACGAAGTTCCGTGTGTGTTTGGCGCCACCAATATTGCAGTGAGGTGTCTGCACGCAATGAATAATTTTTCCCTCATCACATATATTTATATAGATATGAAATAGAGTGTACCTATTAAATAATAATCTATGTTTATGTAATAAGAATAATAAGATATATTAGGTTCTAGTAAGATAATGTTTTAAAATTTACTCGACATGAAAATAAATATTAATTATATATACAATATACCTATCAATAAATGTTAAATAAAATGTATTTATTATTAAATGTGTAATTAATTAAAAAAAATAGTTACTAAATAACCTATATACATTATATATCTATATAAATATAACAAAAGTATTTATTGAATGCAAATGCAAATCCTTGTATTTTTAAAATGACGCTATTTCTATCAACATATAAATAATATTAAATTAGTAAATTATAATATTTATAAGTCTATTAAATAGATATTTCTATAATAATTAATGAATACTCACAACAATTATTACACATCGTAAATTTGTTCAATTAATTTACATGAATTATGAGAAAAATATTGCTTTTACATTAATGAGTAGTGACTATAATGTGCATAATTATATTTAATATAATATGTATATGTAAAAAGTCAATTGGTAAGTTTTTGTACTTGCTATGTTTGCATAAACTACAATATAAGCACTATTTACTTAGGTAGGTACCCAGCGTATAAGTTAACACTTTAATAATAAACACTACTTTATATACTGCAGTAATAACTAATAAAGTAATAAAGTATGTTGTATATTATGTAAACAATTAATCATTTCATTTTCTAACCCAAGTAATTTTTAATTCTAATAAATATTGATATTTTTCTCTCCGTAAAAATTTTTATTCTGATATAAAATGTATAAGTTAAGTTAAATTCTAGTATTTATAATTAAAGGTATTACATATTTATATATTGTATTTTTATTAACGTTTAGTTAAAAATTATTATTATAATATAAAAATAATTTATTAACGGAGTTTATAATAGGTACTACCAAGTGAATACATATTAAAAATCTGCATATAACCAATTTGTTTTATTTATTAAAATAATAAACACAATATAATGCATATAAAAATATTAATAAATACGGACATTTTTATCACTGTATAATTTTAACATAAGTTAATGTTTTAATAGTAATATACATTAGTATTAGTAATATGTGTTGATCTTGTACATCCAGGAAAAGAGAGATTAATTAAAAAGGGTGAATGGTTTATTTAAAGAACATTTTGTTTCTAATAATAACACTTTAATAGACCTTATTATTATATCTATAAATGATAAATTAAACTTTATTTAATATAGAATAAATAAATTAACAAGTAATAATTTATACTATTATCACTATTATACATTTATATTTTTATTAAACACAAGTATCCCTAGTACTTAGATATTTTAAGGCTAAAGTTATTTTAAAGCTATATTAATTTTAAAATATTGTTAATTGATTTATCAATTACGTGTAATAAATCTATTATAAATTATATACCTACCGATACATAAAATTAAACTATATATGCAGTTACATTAAATTAAACTATATCTGCAGTTCAATATTATAAATTATAATACAAAAAAATAGAATTAATGCATAAAATTAGCTACAGAATAGGCATCTACCTATTTTTTTAAAATTATAGTTAAAACAATTATAATTTTTGATCCCATGCTTGTTTTAAATAAAATAAAAAGAAATAATTGTCTGAAATATGAAAACTGCAATGTCCCTAATGTAAAAAGCAATAGCTATTGATCCTCTTCTATTTCTATTTCTGGAACGACCGTGATTACGAGTAACGAGAATTATTTTAAACTCCAGTATTATTATTATTATTTTTTTTTTATAGGAAATACTTAATTTTTACATAATCGTTTAATCAAATGCTTAAAAATATTTTGTTAGTGACGTTTTACGTTTTAAAAAGTAAAACTGTAACGAATAAAAATAATTATCATACTTTTATAGTTCTGAATGGAATATGGATAATGGATATTAAACTAATTACTATAAATAGAATAAACCTTTATAAAATTATAAAATTATTGTTTAATAAATTATTAAATATTGCACTAAACTATTATGATATGACCTTTAATTTTTTTTTTCTTAATAGTATTTTATATTTGTAGAAATAAAGATATAGGTATATACATTTTATAACACATAACATAATAACATATATGTATTACTAAATCTTAATTTAAATACTTAATAATATTTTGAATAATTTTATTCTTTTAACATTTAATAGGAGTGAATAAAAATACTTATACAGGTAAATAACCAATTTATATTTTTTTTATAAATACATTTTCAACTCACTTCATGGTTGGATGGTGAAAATAACCATTTATAATTGAATAAATGTCTATTATACCTCTAAGTATTCTACCACTACAAAAGTACGTCTTACTCTTACTCGTAAGTTAAACATAAGAGTACAGATTCGTACAAAGCTTGTCTAATTCTTAAATAATTTATAAAGTCTCAAGCATTTGAGATAATATGTAAACATAAAATTTAAACTAATAATTAATTGATTTCTAATTCAGTAGCCTAGTAAAACAGAAACCTATATCGCCTCAATAAGTATAATGTATAAAATGTTCTCATTAATATTATGACCCTTTTTAAAATTAAATAATTAATGTTAATATCATAGTACCAGTATTACCTTTATAGCTATACCAGTTGATCAAGTGGATTCTACTTCAGTAACCATAAAAATGCTTATAGAAATTTTTAAACCATTATTAATCTTTTCTCTTCTGACTTTTACTGCTACAGTAGTACCTATACATGCCAAGATAAAAAATGTGGTTCAGTCCACAGTTTAGTTTGAAGTGTTTGAATCACCTTTATTATTAGTGAATTATATTCATTCACGATTATATATTACTAAACAGGATGTCTCAACATACGTTTGTCCTCGAACAAATACTGGCGCTCCCGTACTCCCGTCACCAATCTCAAATCTGTTATATTTCTTC